ATGGCTTCAAGTTACGCACGTGTTGACGTAACTCTTTGACGAAGTTTGGGGTGCTGTTGTCTGCGCTGTTTTCGTCGCGTGGGATGCCTAGGAATTCACCGGGCAGGCGGAGAGGTTGGCCATATACGAGCTCCGCGGAGGAACCCTGGAAGTCTTCTTTCCATGCTGCTCGAATGCCGAGCATGACGGTGGATAGGGCTTCAGTCCAGCGATTATTCTGGTGGCACATGATTGCCGCTTTTAACTGTCGGTGTAGGCGTTCAACCATTCCGTTGGCTGAGGGGTGGTACGCTGTAGTTCTCAAATGAGTGGTTCCTAATAAACAATTTAGTTGTTTAAATAGGTACGACTCGAATTGTCTACCTTGGTCGGTGGTTACTCGTAGCGGAGTGCCGAATCGTGCGATCCATGTGTCGTAAAAAGCTCGTGCCACGGTTGCTGCTTCCTGGTCGCTAATGGGTACGGCTTCTGGCCAGCGGGTGTACCGATCTACCATGGTAAGGCAGTAACGATAACCCTCTGAGTGTGGCATAATTACTATGTCCAAGTGCACGTGCTCAAACCTCGCTGATGGTGGCGAGAATGTACCGATGGGCGAAGAGACATGGCGTGAGATTTTCGAACGCTGACACTCTACGCAGTTGCGGGCCCATTCTCGACAATCTGATTTGACCGATGGCCAGACGTAACGTTGCGTCACCAGTTTTACGGTGGCTTTAACGCCTGGATGGGATAGACGATGAATCGACTCGAATGCAGCTCGGCGAAATGACTCGGTGACGTAAGGACGCGCTGTTCGCGTGGAGACGTCGCAGAGTACCGATACGTCGCAGCCTGGGATTCGTACCAGTTTGAGCTGCAGGCCTGTATTACCTGTTCGAAATCTCTCGAGTTCCTCATCCTGCTGTTGTGCTGCTGCCAGAGCTTGGAAATCAATCGAGGTTTCCACAGCCTCGATGCGAGAAAGAGTATCTGCGACAACATTTTCGTTCCCTGCTATGTGGCGAATGTCAGTCGTGAATTGACTGATGAAGTCCAGGTGTCGTATTTGGCGGGGCGAGGACTCGGTATTCTTCTTCTGAAAGGCATACGTGATTGGCTTGTGGTCTGTGTAGATGGTGAAAGACCGCGCCTCTACCATATGCCTAAAATGTTTGACTGCGAGATAAATGGCTAGCAGTTCTCGATCATAAGCCCCGTAGTTTGACTCGGTGGGACTCAGTTTTTTGGAAAAGAAGTCCAACGGTTGCCAGTGACCGTCGACCTTCTGCTGGAGGACTGCTCCGACGGCGAAATCTGACGCGTCCGAAAAAATAGCTAATGGTGCGTTTGGCTCGGGATGTGCCAATAATGTGGCTCCGGCGAGGCTCTCCTTGCACGCCTCGAATGCGGCCACCGTTGCTGGTGTCCAGTTGACCGGAGTTTTTCCTTTGACGTTGCCCTGGAGGAGGTCGTTCAAAGGTGCTTGCGTCTCTGCCGCCTTAGGTAGGAATCTTCTGAAAAAATTCAACATACCCAAGAACTGACGCAACTTTTTTATTGTATTTGGCTGCGGGAAGCTGCGGATTGCTTCGACCTTTTCTGGAAGTGGACGTGTACCTGCGCCGGAAACGAGATATCCTAAAAATTTGACCTCTGGCTGGCCGAAGACGCATTTCATGGGATTGATAACGACGCCGTACTCTCTCAAACGCTGAAACACAGTTTCCAAGTGCTGGAGGTGTTCTTCTGGTGATGCGGATGCGACGAGGATGTCGTCGATGTATGCATAGCAAAAATCGAGACCCTGCAACACCTCGTCCATGAATCGCTGGAACGTCTGCGCTGCGTTACGTAAGCCGAACGTCATGAATTGAAATTCAAACAAGCCGAATGGGGTGGTAATGGCAGTCTTCGGAACGTCTTCTTCTGCGACCGGGATCTGGTTGAATGCGCGTACCAGATCGATCGTTGAAAATATGATTTTGCCGTGTAAGGATTGCGCAAAATCTTGGATGTGCCTCACCGGGTACCTGTCGGGGCAGGTTCTCGCGTTGAGGGCACGATAATCTCCGCATGGCCTCCATTCGTCGCCCTTTTTGGGCACCATGTGAAGCGGTGAAGACCATGAACTTTGGGAAGGGCGGGCAATTCCTAGCTGGACCATGGCGTCGAATTCTTTTCTTGCTGCCTGGAGTCGGTCGGGCGCGAGTCTTCGGGGACGTTGCGCAATGGGAGGGCCCGGCGTGGTTACGATGTGGTGGCGGGTGGAATGTTTCACCGCCTTAGGGGTTCCGTCTGGACGTGTGACATCGGGAAACCGTTGGAGGAGTTCGTGGAACGGTGAACTTCCGGCGATGGTTTTTACGGACGGGATCTCACACTCAGTCACCTCTCCGATGGAAGTGAGTTGGGTAATTTGATCGTGTAGTCGCTGGTTTCTTATGTCCACCAGGAGTCCGTAGTGAGCCAGGAAGTCGGCTCCGATAATGGGTTTCACCACGTCCGCGACAACAAATCTCCACGTAAAATCGCGCCGTAAGCCTAAATTCAACGACAACGTGATTGTTCCGTACGTCGCGATGATGGTGCCGTTTGCCGCGGAAAGTTCATATGCGGACTTCGTACGCGGTTTTGGTAGCAGGGCATGCGGGAACACACACAGATCGGCGCCGGTGTCGATGAGGAATTTTTTTCCTGTTGTCCTCTCGGTGACGAATAAACGGCTCGATGTTGTTGTAGGGGTGGTGGGGCAGGCGTCAATGGCCGTTTTTAACGACTGCCCTCGGCGTTTCCCGCCGGTAGGGAACTATACCTACACGGCTTGTCGCATCTTCTTGATGTGTCGCCGAAACGCCAGTGGTAATAGCAAATACCGCTGTCGCCTTTCGTTCGATGACGGGATCCCGATCGCGAACGCGAACGCGACGATGTCTCTGGCCGCGAGTCTGAGGGCGAACGGTTCTGGGGCTGCGATGCCTGGAGGACTTCTATTTCAGTCAGCCTCTGTAGGAGGACCGCCGCGATGTCTTCCATCCATGTTAATTTTTCCAACTCGGTTGATGACAGGGGCGCGGGTGAATTCGCGTTTGACGCCATAGTTTTTATTTCACTCGAAATTCCGCACTATACTCGTCGCGATCACTGGTAATACTCACGTTTTTTTTTTTTTGATCACGTCGGGGTCACCAGTTGTGGGTATCGTTGGTGATTTAAAAGCGACGGTACGGTTTTTAGATTTTATTTCGTTGTTTACTGTTCGAGGGTGCCAGGGAGAAGACGGAAGGGTGTTTAAAATGGTACACAGGTAAGCTCGGATTTGAAGAGGTGGAAGTAGGTAAAGAAGGGTTTAGAAAGTTCCAGAAGCGAAAAGAGAAAGTATGAAGAAGTGTAGGGCAGGTAGACGAAGGATAGGAAATATTTACATTTATACAAATATTACAAATGCCCTCAGGTAGAACACCTGATTTTGTGGGAACGGTTGTTCCTACATATGTTTTGTGTTTTATCTACAAGACAAAGTAACAAGTGCAGCAGCGACAAAACTGCTGTTGATGGAAAATTTTACTCATCCAAGTGTGACGCCATGAAAATAGTTCGATTTATTGAGGTCCGAGTTATGTCTGTTTTATCACTTCTAAGCAATTATTATTTTTACCTTTACTAGTTTCTGTCGATAAATTCGGAATGATAACTTTGTCAAATCACTAATGAAAACAGAAAAAATGATCGTTTTTGTTGCATAATTAATCTATCGATTTTTACATGTTTGACAATGTTTAATTCAGACTGAAAGATTCCAAACTCATGGCGGATTTTATATTCGCAATACCGGGTGATTAAGGTGAATTTTAATCAGAGACCTTTAGACAAGTAAACGTGTTGTCATTACTTGCACCATATAGTTATTTTAAATATTTTTATTTTGCTCTTGAGTATTACTAGTTGTCTAAAAGAAAAATTTTAGCTTCAGAAAAATGTTTAAAATAAAGTTGATCTGGGCAATCGCAAATCAAGCGTTCGTCAAAATATTCTTGAAGATATGTGATTTTTGCGTTGGCCACATGGGCCGTAGCAACATCTTGTTGAAAACAATCTCACAATTATGATACAGTTGGTTTATGAATTGTTCTACAATCACCGGACCTTTTTTGCAATGAGCATCCATTCGATTGTATTTAATTTTAAATTCTTAGACACAAGCTGATGCAGAATATTCCCATTCCACATTTTCTTGTTTCACTTTACTTCGAAAATAAGATGGAAATAAGAACGTTTTTCCTACAACAGTGAAAACCACTGTTTAACTTTCTTGAACCATATATTAACTCTCAGTCAAGCAAAACTGCACGAAAACAACAACCGTTGATTTATTTTTTTTTTAATATGAAAATTTTGACAAATGACAAATAAACACATTTTGACATTTGTAATCTCCAAATTTTAAAACTGTGTCAATCGCCCCATTTTTTGCATATTATGTTTCCCAATCCTGTCAAACGATGACAGAAAAAATGTAGAAAAAGAACTTTCAAAAGTAGCATTTTTAATACACCGTAAATTTAAAATTTGTAAAAATATATAGATAACTTTTATTATTTCAGTACTTCTTTTGTTAATGTAAAAGACGTAACAGTTGAATATGTATTTGCCATTTCATTCTCTGCACTTACGTACATTAACTGATTTAATCAATCGTTGTTTTTCAGGTTTTGAAACCACTGTCAAAAAATTCAGTAAGTGAAAATCTCAAAAAACAAGATACATTAATTCACGTCATTTAAAACCAGTGAATGGCTTCAACTGTTTTGTTATTACAATATACTGAAATTTCTATAGCGCAGAAAAAACAAGATTAGATTTTCAAAACGCCCACATACACTACCTTAATATTCAAATTAACTTTGGTAAATCTTCTTCAGTATATTTAAGTACAAATATTAGTTTGCATTCATTTTTGCTACAAACAACGCTTCCATTTTCCCTATGTATTCAAAAATTACGTAATTTCCACCTTTCAGCTGCCTGGAAAACGAAGCACCGGACCAAGCGGCTGGACCATCCCGGCGAAGTTACAAATCTACCTATGGCTAGGCATGCTCAAGCACAAAAAGAACTTCATTAACGGAATACCGAAAGGCTACGAAGTGACACACGAAATTAGAAACGTGGAAAGACCGCGAGCGCTTCCCCCTTCCATAATCCATTACGTCGAAAAACACGTAACATGAACCAGCCCCATGTTTTTGCATAAATGAACGCGGTAAACTTTCAGGTTTTTCAGTTGCGAGCGCACATTTATCAAGCGAGGTCGCTGATAGGAAGTGATGCTTCAGGTCTTTCGGATCCATTCGCAAGAGTAATTGCGGGAGAATTCAGTAAAACCACGCAAGTTATTGACGAAACTTTAAGCCCGACGTGGGACGAGTTGCTCATTTTCGGGGAAATTCTCATATATGGAACCGCTGAAGAAATCAAGCAAGATCCTTCTTCGATTATTATCGAAATCTTCGACCAGGATAAAGTCGGGAAGTCGGAGTTTATAGGACGAGCTTTGGCGAAAGCGCACGTTAAGTTAAGAGAAGAAGGTTACTCTAAACCGAAGTTTCCGCCTTCTTTGGAGTGGTTTGATATTACTAGAGGTGCAGACCATGCTGGGGAGTTGTTGGCGGCTTTCGAACTTCTGGAATTACCGAACGATGTTGATGGAGGGCAGCTGCCGCCGTTACCCGCACCAAAAGATATTCCGATTTATAAAGAAACAGATCCTAAAGATTTGATTCCTATGCTACCAGTTCCTAGAGGGATTAGACCAACGTTGGCGCGTTATCGCATCGAAGTACTATTTTGGGGGTTGAGAGACCTGAAACGTATCCATCTACTAACAGTAGACAAACCAAGAGTCGATATAGAGTGCTCAGGTCACATTCTTTACTCTTCGATTATTCAAAACGCCAAAAAGAACCCAAATTTTAGCAATCCTGTGAAATTTCTCGACTTAGACCTACCAGAGCAAGAACTGTACAGACCACCACTAACAATCAGAGCTGTGGATTGTCGAAGTTTCGGACGCTACACTCTCGTAGGAACCCACATGATCAACTCAATTCACAAATATATGTACACACCGATAACCAAAAGAGACCGAGAATCAGAGGAAAGAAAACGAACCTTGAAAGAACCAAAAAATGATTGCCCAACTTTAAGTCAGTGTTCACCTACAAATATAAACTGTATTGATAACGATAAAGAGCGAAGTCCTCTTCTACCGAAAGACATTTCGATTTCCATAGGGTATGGCACACAACAAAGCTTAAGCAAAATGAAGTCTGAGGCTAGTAGGAAACGGAAACCTAGTGTTGAAGAGGACATGGACGATGAAGAAGGAAGTCGTGACTGGTGGACGAAATATTTTGCGTCAGTCGAACGAATGATTGACGAAACCAAAGAAGCGAAAAAATTGTTAAATCAGCAAAATGGGAATCTACAAATTCTTGCAGATGATGATAGCAATCCACAGTCGGGGAACACTTCGGATAAAAGTCCAGGAGACGGGAAAAGACGATTTGGGTTCAAAACTGCGGCTACGGCTTCAAGGTTTGCAGCAAGAATTAGTCCTAAAAGCGTTCGAAAAAGAAGTAAATACAAACCCGCCTTATGCAAAGTACAACTAATAAATGGGTAGTAATTTTAAACTAACATTGTTTGTTTTAGATATACCCTACCGAGCTGGAGGCGATATCAGACTTCGGTGAATTCAAAGAGTGGTTGCATACCTTTGAATTATACAGAGGTAAAAAGACTGGTGATGACACTGAAGACGAAAGTCGCGTAGTGGGTTATTTTAAGGTAACACCTGACTCGCGAAGTTCAGGATTTTTAACCTAAAAACTTTGTAGGGTGCTATCAAAGTATACAAATGGCCTTTACCTAAAGATATCGAAGACCACACCATAATGGGTTTCGACCCACAATTCGGATTCTTTCAAGGTTTGCCTTCAAACGACCCCATTCGTGTTCTAGTACGTGTCTACGTAGTCAAAGCGAACGATCTTCATCCCATGGATCTCAATGGTAAAGCGGATCCATACGTGGTTATACAACTAGGTTCAAAACGTATTAGCGACAAAGACAACTACATCTCAAAACAACTGAACCCAGTATTCGGAAAGTAAGTATAATTTACGTTAAACTTTCACGCTTGAGCAATTTACTGCAGGTGTTTCGAGATCGAAGCTACATTCCCACAGGACTCGTCACTTACTATACAGATATACGACTGGGACTTGGTCGGATCTGATGACATGGTCGGTGAAACGAAAATTGATTTAGAAAACAGATTTTATAGCAGACATAGAGCTACATGTGGTCTTCCCGAGAAATATGAAGAGTAAGATAACGCGTTTAATTGACAGCTGTCTAATCTTTGTTCTTCAGACAAGGGTACAACGCCTGGAAAGACGCTATGAAGCCTACTCAGATCTTGGCCAAATTATGCAAAGACGCCAAAGTAGAAGCTCCAATGTACTCAGACAGCCAAGTGAAAATTGGACGTCAGGTGTTTACGATTCACTGCGAAGACTTCGATTTTTACAGAACACGTGAGGCTGAAGAACATATGGCTCTAGCGGTTTTACATCGTTGGCACGAATTTCCGAAAATTGGATGCCACTTAATTCCGGAACATGTGGAAACTCGACCGCTTTATAATCCAGACAAACCGGGAATCGAACAAGGCAAGCTGGAAATGTGGGTCGATATGTTCCCGATGGATATGCCTTTACCGGGACCACCGTTGGACATTTCTCCTCGAAAACCCAAAAGCTACGAACTGAGGGTTATTATATGGAATACCGACGACGTAGTGCTGGAAGATGACGCATTTTTCACCGGGGAAAAGATGTCAGATATTTATGTCAAAGGATGGCTAAAAGGACCAGAGGATTGCCAGTGTACGGACATACATTACCGTAGTTTGACGGGAGAGGGGAATTTCAACTGGAGGTTTATTTTTCCTTTTGATTATATGGTGGCAGAGCAGAAAATTGTCATCTCAAGAAAGGAATCGCTTTTCTCGTGGGACGAGACGGAGTGTAAAATACCAGCACGACTAGAGTTACAAGTATGGGATGCTGATCACTTTTCAGCCGACGACTTTTTAGGTAAAATTTCATTAGCCCTTTTTTCTTAAAAGACGTATCTAGAGTTAGAATATTTTTAAAAGTTAATTTGTAATAAGTACGACTTTTCAGGGGCCATCACACTGGATTTGAACCGTTTTCCTCGGGGAGCAAAATCCTCGAAACTGTGCACTTTGGACATGTTAAAAACAGACGGTTCGGTCCCCGTTGTAAATATTTTCAAGCAAAAACGGGTAAAGGGCTGGTGGCCGTTTTTCATCAAAAAGGACAACGAAGAAATGGAATTAACCGGAAAAGTGGAAGCAGAAATCCATTTATTATCGAAGGACGAAGCTGACAAAAATCCGGTGGGGTTAGGAAGAAGCGAACCGGACCAACTGGAAAAACCAAAGTGAGTTTTTATGCGTCCATTGAAATTAAAGCTGTTTTATTTTGTTTCAGTCGACCAGATTCGTCGTTTATGTGGTTCATGAATCCGCTCAAGTCGATACGTTACATTATATGGCACAACTATAAATGGACGATTTTGAAACTTTTTATTATACTTGGCTTAGCAATAATCATCCTGTTATTCTTCTACTCTATACCAGGTTACACTGTTAAGAAGATGTTAGGAGCTTAAGGCTTGTTTTTCATATATGCACCAATTCATCATGTAATCGATTACATTTTACATCAGTACAAATTTATTCACACACCATGTAAAATACGATGTGGCTTTTGCCTAAGTCAAAATGTATTATAATTAGGAGTGACGTCAAAAATACACAAAATGTTGAATTTCAGACTTTTATTGCGTGTCAGTTGTCTATTACTTGTAATATATGCAAAATAAATAATTACCTATTTTCAAAAGTCTATGTATGTCTTTGTACTTTGTAAATATTTTCGCGCATTCTAGCATCTGACTTCGTGTGGTATGCCGACAATGTACCATGGAAATGCAATTTAAGGCTGTCATATGTTGTTATCATTAACACACTAACCAAACTTTCTACTTTAGAAATTAATTTAGGGTTATCTTTTATTTAAAAAAAGTCAAAAAAGGTTCTATTTTTAGTAAAAATAAATATTTAGGTTTTCCTATGTACAATATAACACTAAATATAAAATTTCGTCATTCAAAAAAAATCTACAAAGAAATTAGTATGTACATGTTTGATAATAATTTTATTATTAAAATAAAAAAAAATACATATATGTAAGGCCATAAATATAAATAAACTACAAAAAATAAAATTTACACCAACATATTTTAAGTTGACCCCAAAATCTTAAAGAGGATGAGCAATCCATAATTTTAACACGTGAACAAAATTTTAAAACCCGCGAAAATTCAAAACTTTGACCTTGAACTCTAATCGTTAACAAAACTGGAACCCTACGTTGTGTTTGTTTATGGCGGAATGCGTTCAAATGCAAAATAGGAGCCTGAAGGCTGAAAAACGCCCCTAAATCAAACACAAAATATGGAGGATACAAAAATTGTTTATCCTCGATCCTTGAGAAGTACAAAAAATTGAGAAATAATCTAACTTTAAGAGGGCAAAATTTAAGGTCCTCGTCGTGTTCACCCTTCCTTTGTGATTCTAATTTATAGACAGATATAACACACACCGTACATGTCTATGTCTAAAAACCTGCCGCATATTCTTTATCCGGTCTGCGCAAACTAAACAGTTATTAAACCATGCTGCGCGTTTCACGACGAAGCGAGTCTCCATTTCAACACATATTTGGGCAATTCCAAAACCGCAAAAATTGAAACCGCTTTCATTGTGCAAAATGTGCCTTTTTATTTCAATTAAGTTCAAATCCTATCTCTCTCAAACTTATATAACGATGACAGAATGAGTGTTAAAATTACTAATTTCCTCCACACTCAAGAATTTCAACCAACACAGAATTTACATGAAGTTAAATTATACCACACTCTATCAACAATTTTTTTTATTTCAAGTTATTAATTATATCACATCGCATTCACAGATTGCCTCATGAACTCAAAACCCCACATCACATTAAAGATTCAATTCAAGCCGCAAAATATTATTAAATCTGTAGGAAATATTAAACCCCTCCCGAACTTCGAGGGAATTTAACTTGTAGCGTGTAGATCAATCTCGCGTGAGAGTTAAGAAGTGTGCTATCATGTGAAAAATAAAGTTAAGTAGAACATCCAGAAACTTTAGTTATAACTTGATAAAGAAAATAATGAATCCTGACTAAGTGAATTTCCTAACACGTGGTTTATATGAACCATTTATTTTTAAAGCATATATTTTTCAAATTCAAATTATTCAAAAGCGATCACTATCAATTTTTTCGTAATGATTTTACAATAATTGTAAAGAATTGAAATAGCAAATAAAATGAAAAAAAACCTATATAATGTATAAGAAATAAATTGAGTGTGATAGCAGGTGTCCCCATTAAAAAACTGATTTAAATTTAACTGCAGGTCCACATATAACAATACACTAACGTTGTTATGGTTATCATATTAAACACAAATAGTAACGTAAAAAACTAATACCCGCTACTAAAAGTTGCCAAGGGGTCATAGTTGTCTGAAATGGAATATTTATTTAGTATATAAATGTCAATATCAGTAATTTTGTTTTAGTGTATTTATAGAATAAACCTGCTTTCTTTTTTAGTCTCCTCGTTAATCTTGTAAATACAAGTGACCTGCTTCAATAAATAAATTTGAAACGAAATCAATAAATTTCTAGGGATAATTTTACGGAAAATTCGTATTTAAGAGAATAAATATAAATTTTACAAAGAGCAGTCACATATACAGGGTGTCTTTGAAAGGTATGCAAAAAAAAAATTCATAAATCCGGCCATCTCGGAAAGTTATATAAAAGTTTTTTCATTGTATAAATCTCACAAAAAAAAGATATACACTTGTCTTAAACCAATGACAAAATTAATTATGTACAAGGTGTGCAAAATTAATTGATTCCTAGCAACTAGCCTAAAAGTGACAAGTAAAAAGTCTAAATTTGCTTCTTGCCTGTCTATGTAATCTTTTACAAGGAGATTAGCAAAAAAAACCCAAATCGATTAGTTAGGACTCATGTGTTCCTGGGCGTTTTAAGATATTCATAGTGTGACCAAATTTTGGATTTTGGAAAATCCAAAATATATATAATTGAATAGATATTTAAATATGCTATCCTTGTACCACTAAAAAAAAATCGCAAATTGACTCATATGTCTTTAGCTTAACACTAAATTATTAATTTCGACACTTTTTTACTACATATCTTTTGTTTCATAACGCAGTAAGAATCCTTAATTTTTTTGAATTTGAAAAAATCGATTTATACAATCTGGTGTTAATTTGTCCGAAAATAATAACGCACGGAAACTTTAATTTTTGTTTGCGATTTATTGATAACACATAAATATATACTTCTATATAAGCATAGAAGTGCAACATAAATTGAGAAAACTACGTGTTTTGTATAACATTAGTCGAACTTACATATTTATCGTAATTTCACCTCGTAATTTCACCTTGTGTACTTACCTGTTATGTGAGTCACTACTTACACTATTACGACAAATTGATGTTAATAACTAATTTAAATATATTTTGTAATAATGAAGCTTTAGTATCACTTAAGTAAAAAATCTTACGAAACACAAATTTATTAAAATTTGTATTCTCTTAAAAAATATTCAGCTAATATTTTGTTTAATGCCTCGCACTCATTAGTAAAATTTATTTTTACACTCTGAACGAAAATACATTTTTCATGTCTGTGTGCTAAAATATAACATTTTTAACGATGACTTTGTTGACTTTGTCAATGGAAACGTTAAAAAGTTTATTTACAGGCCACGATATTTATCGATGATAATAATTATTACATTGCTGACATACTTCTTTCACCATTCCTGATTTTTTTTTTTGTAAAAAAGGCAAAAAAGCAATTTGTGAAAAAAGAATTAGGTAATTATGCTGTATTAAAAAGCGAAAACCCAGAAAACTCAATAAACCGACAAAATTGTGATTAGTAGATTAATTTATATACAGGGTGTTTCGGAATGTGTGGGTCAAAACTTGGACTTCACTTCTTTGGTTAACATCGCACAAAAAAGTTCAAACAATTTTATTTCTAACATGAATCCTTCGCATTCTCCAGGTCTTTGGAGTGAAACATTATGCTTTGTTGTTAGAAACAATGTCTACTGTCTACATTTCTGTGAATTTCAAAGCAATGTAAAAATTTGATTTATTTATATCATTAGAAAAATGGCAGTAATGGCACTTATTGTTCAGATAAATTCTGATCAGCGATACTCATTTAAATACTAAAATTTTGTTGCACAATTTCGATTTTTATTTCTAAAAGTATACATGCATAAAGTTGAATATAGAATGGATTAATTTAGCACAGATTTACTTAGAAAAATTCGCAAGGTATGTCTAAAATTTTACTACAGTCAGTTCATTCATACATACTCTATCATGTCTTAGCCGGTACGTAACGTCGAGAAAATTATTGAGTTACTCCCATTTTTATACGCTATTAAATACAGAATGATGTAAGGAGAAACAATTTATTAACACTTAAGTTACCATTAAAAAATGTATGTATATATGTGTCAATATTTTAAAGGTAAGTTAACCAACATGTTTTAGGTACATTTCTAAAAAATAGTTCTATAGTAGATGTAACCACATAACATCCAGTGCTGGTGTTTACTACTTTATCTTTATTCTTTCTTGAGCTTTCTCATAACTGATATCATAGAAAAGAACGCTTTTGCCATCTTAAAAAAATAATTCTTTAGTTAATTAACATTACAATTAAAGTAAGATATATAATAACATTCACAACTAATAACCATTAAACCTCTAGTATTTAAATTTAATTAAAATGATTTTTTCGTATTTTACGTGCTAAAAGGACTTAACAACAAAATGTGCTATACGTTACTTAACACAAAAGAAAAATACACATTTTGTTTAGTTACAAATTAGTAAATAATTTTAACAACCATAATTTCAAAATTAAATATTGAAAAATTAGTCATACATTAAGTAACAAAATCATAACCACACGATTTGTATTTACCTCTACGCTCGTCTTATAGTTTACAGATATGTTTTCAGAAAATTTAAATTTGAAAGGCTTTAGCGAATTCACGAGGAACATTAAGTACATTTTCTTATTTTTCTCATCCCAACTGTACCATTCCATATTTATCAAAGCATTGAAAACACTTGACGACTAAAACAGATAATAGCATCAACGGGATTTCAAATAATACATACATACTATATTTTCAATGTCCTGACCAGTTTGTGCAAGACCAACAAGAAGAAAAAATGAAGTAAGTCCCAGCGACAAAATTCGCAGGAATTGGTCATGCAAAACATCCCGAAACTGGAAATTTAATTAATTATATCTATTAATTCTAATAACCAATTCAGTAACAGTACTTACTGAAAAATAATAAATGACAATATTTCCAACAAGAAGCGCACCTACAGCATTAAAAAGGTAAATAAAAGGTTGCGAAATTTTTACATATTCTTGAAAAGTCCTGCAACAAATTTTACACATATTTTTCACAAACATTTTTTACACCTACTCGCAGATTTGAATATGGTACTGCAAACAACATTTTAACTCTTTTGCAATTTTATTTTGATTTTGAATTTTTAAATAATCGTTAAACACAAGCGACTCTAATCGGCGTAGACACTGTAAAAAATGATATTTTAAATGGTACCAAAAAAAAGCCATTTGAAAAAATGGCTGTGTTATACTGCAATACGCCAGCGGAATAATATCAAGTTGATAAATCGTGATCAAAACTGACTGCCTCCTAGAAAAATATTCTTCAAATAATTTGAGTTCAAAAAATAGATTCTTATCTTCTTTTGTAGGTACAATGTAGGAAACAGCAGTTAATAGACCTAGGCAGCATATCATCACAATGTATAAAGTGATAAACTTCAACTCTTTATAGTGGCTGTTTTCAAGTTTTTGATTAACGTTAGTAAATTTCCACGAACTCATAAACTCTGTCGATGTTCTTACTATTGGCCATGAAAAGGGTAAACCTAAATGGCAAACAAGAATCTGGAAAGCAAACGCCTGATCAGTGAAATTGTGCCATCAAATACTTAACGTATAGTGCCATAAAATATGTCGGTCCATACTGGATAAAATAATTTAAATTGGCCTTTTGCACGAATACTACTGTTTGGATTAAACATAATAATGAGAGAAAGAAAGTATTCATAAGAACCACAATTTTTACGGCTTTCATGTCGAAAATATCACGTGATAGGAAACAGAATATTTTAAAATACACATTTTCTGAAATATCGAACTGAATTATTAAAATACTGTAACCGTTTTCACTTAAATACCACATTTATTGCCCATCGTTCAACACATTTGACGAAAACGAACTGTGAAAGACCGACTAACTGAAATTCTGTTATTCGAAAAGTTTCAATAATGTAGGTACAAATAGGAATATTTCATGAAAACATTATCTTAATGCAGAATCAATAATAGTCATTTTTATTAGAAAAGAAGCTTACTGAATAAATGACAGTTTTAAAAATGTTCTCCGAGATGTATTTATACATTACTGTATATTTATAAAGTAGAAGCTACCACCTGGCGTAATAAATATGTGGGTAAAATTAAAGTAGTTGTCATCACTTCCGATAACACTTGTTGCTCAAAGAATATGTTCATACGACATATATTTTGCGGTAACAAAAAGTCAAACAGTTAGATATTGGTTTATAAAATTAACCAAAATTTTAACTGTCAGTAACTCTAAGTGAACTGATGAAAGCCAATCAAGTTGTCGTCTTCTAAAATTGTTCTAGATATATTCTATTTAAAAAGTAATGCATTTCTAAATTGTCAGTGTACTATATTTGTTAAGACTACTTATACAGGATGTCTCAAAAAATTAATGAATAAAGGAATTTTTGATTAAATCAGAAACTGTTCTTCTTTTCATGAAACTCCGTTGTTATTAGTATTGCACACCACCTATCCAAATTGACATAGATGCTGATAATAAAAGTTGACCGCATTATCATAAAAGTTTAATTTTAGTTAATTAAGAAAAACTTACTTGAATCACACGCATGCGCTTGCCATTTTACCTGTTGTTTAATAATCCACTTTATTTTTACTTCCCGAGCGTAATGAGCTAAAGAAGTATAGTAATCGAGTCCATAGGACGAATTGTCACTTTTATGTTTTCTCGACGTTTCATAGCCCCTACAGTAGAAAAAAAGTAGTGTCCCGTTTCCGTCTGTCTGTCTGTATCCATTTTTATTAAACACGTAATCTCCGAAACTGCTGGACCGATTGTTGTCTAATTTTGTATGTATGTTATAAATATCATGTAGATGGTTAAATGCTAGCCAAAATTTGGCTAAGCATCCCGACCAACAATTTGATGACGTCATCTCAATGAACCATATTTTAAAATGACTTGAATATTATGCACAAATATACTCCTGTATTTGTAGTATACGAATCCGCTTTCAGTTGTTTCGCTTAAGGTTCAAATTTTCGTGGTTCAGTGACTCAACGGCTTACTCGACGAACCGGCGACATTGCCAAGTTCGAGGCCCTTTCCTTTTTTTTTCTTGCACTGGTAATGTGCTGTAACAACTTTTCTTTTGGGCTGTGACTAATATTATGCACGTTGTTGACATCATCACAAATTTTTTATTGGTCAAACTAAAAACGAGTCAGTTACCCCATTTTCTTATGAATGTGAGAATACGTACTTCTTTATATAATAATAATTATAAAATAAGAATTATAATGTTCAAACATTTTGTGCGATTGTGGCTTAATTAATAATTTTAGTCCTCTGTTTTGAAGAAACAAACTTACTCAAATCAAACTAATTTCTACGTGTCATTCTTTCGATGCATAAACATAAATAAACAGTTCAGATTGCTATTACCTAGTGCTGAAGGACATTTTATCTCGTTAATTATGTCTATGTGCTCTAAATATATTCACATTGTCTATACGGCGCAGGGGCTGCGGGAATGTTATTTATGCCGCTGGTTTTTATTTTACAGAGGTTATCACAAAACGAAAATCGTAAAATCAAATTTTATTATTTTTTTGAACAGGTGGAATTTGTCGGATTATACTTAGCCTTCGACCAATTTTTTATTGATAAAATTAAGAGAAAATATGGAAATACGCAGGTCTTATAAGAATAATAAGATCCTATTCAAAATATTTTGTTCCAATTGGGTTAATTAATCATTTTAGTCCTCTGTTTTGAGGAAACAACTCATTCAAATCAAACAAATTTCTACGTGACATTCTTTCGATGTATAAACATAAACAACCGAATTTAAGTATGTACACTGATAATAATACACAATACGGGGTTCGAGGTATCATTTATATCACTGGTTTTTACTATATAAAGGTTATCAGAAATCAAAAATTTTGTATAATTTTTTAAAGAAGCGTGATTTATTGGACTGTACTTTAAGGGCGAGGGAAGTTCTGAAGAGGTAACCTTTGACCAATTTTTTTTACTTAAAGGGTTTACCACTAGAAAATAAAATTTACATAATGTGATTTTATAATTTATCTAAAAAACTGGACTTTCATATGTTTCTGTGCTTCAAACCAAGAGAATTTCTGTCTAAACTGCCATATTATTTTGACAATTTTTATCCGACCTTTAGACTGTCAATTAAATTTACAAGAAAACATCAAAATTAAGAAGTTAATTCTTCAATTTTTAAGTTTAATACTTCCAAAAATTTGGTTCAGGGATTTTTTTACCATATTTTCGGAATTCTTCAGAGCCTTTTTTAACTAGGGCCCATCCAGCTTTTCCGTCATTTTGGATCAGCCTGTGTAATCTCTCAGTAAAATAATCAAAACTTTTTTATATCATTGTGCTGTGATTTTTTTAAATTTACAAGAAATAACAATGAATAAAATAAGCTAGTAGTTATGAAGGAGATACTCAACAACCGTGCTAAAAACATGATTAGCGTTAATAAATACCAGAAACAAATAGGAAAATATTCACAGATCACATACTGTTTTAATGTCACTATTTCATATATCCATTTTTTTATGTATAATTATACACAAAACACATTCAAGAAGTTTGGAAACTTTTAAGACACGTTGTTTACAAATTTTGACCTTAACCGGCATAACCAATAATTGATTTAAAATATTTACAAAACCACTTAAATACACTTACATGACTCAAAATTATTAGCGTGTAATTATTATCTCTTTAAGAAACGAAATTATGTCATTGTAAAAAGAGTATATAAGGTATTTTGGATCGATACTCATCATCATTTAACTAGATGTAGGAATCAAGATGGGTTTGGTAAGTAGTAAAACCATCGCTTTAAAAATATACAATTATTTATTTCATTCTTTAGTTCTTACAACTATTTGTCGTGACGACATTGGTCGCTGTTCTTCACAGCGCACCTCTGGACCAACAATCTGAAAGTACCACTGTTGGTATAAGACCTCTACCCGCGACAATATCCAAAAAAGATGACTCTAAGGTAAGTCTTTAATTGCCGTTTGTCAAGAAAATTTATATCGTTGTTCACTTCTACAGGAATCTGATGAAGATAAATCAGGCACAAAGAGGGTATCTCGAGAATCGCCATCCCAACCCCAGCCCCACTTTATATCAGGTGTACCAACTCCAACAAGCACCCAGTCTACGCTGACAAACCAACAAAAACCCAACGAAGACCCGAGAAAAGTAAGAGCTGTTGATGATGCAAGAGGACCACCGCCGCCTCCTCCACTAGCGCATGGCCCACCGCCACCACCACCAGCGCATGGCCCACCGCCACCACCACCACCGCACGGCCCACCACCACCACCACCGCACGGCCCACCACCACCACCAGAGGATCACCCCGGGTATCCTGAGCGTAGACCACCCCCACCCCCACCAGGCAGCAGACCCGAACGAGATGTGAGTCATCTAGACCAACCACAAATCAAGCCTGCTACTTTCCCGGCGAAAGTCGACCCACCAACCCCTACAAACCAAAAACAGGACAAGCCAGAAAACAGGCCCCAAAGAGATGTCACCAATCCAAATCAACCACAAATCAAACCTGCAACTCTGCCTGCGAAAGTTGACCCACCAACCCCTAGTAACCAAAATCAAAACAAGCCAGGAAACAGGCCCGCTCGAGATGTAAACAACCCTGTTCCTAAGCAGACGAGACCCGCTCCGATTCCTGCTCAAATCGACCCACAGCCCGGGACTACCACAAACCAACGTAAAAATGGTCCAGGAAGCAGGCCAGTTCGAGATGTTCCGAAGCAAACCAGGCCTGCACCAATTCCCGCTAAGGTCGATCCCAAGCCGGCACCTCCCCCAGGTCCAGGAAGCAGGCCTGTCCGAGACGTGAGCTCTCCTCTTGCGGCAGCTTCGTCTACTACTGAAAAATCAGATTCGACCACGGAGAAAAGTCAAGATTTGAAAAAGTCTGAGTGAAAAAACAAATCAAAAGGATATGATATTTGTTTATGTAAAAAATTACCGTACTATGTGTAAATTATATGTTAAATAAAGTGATAAATTCGCTGACAATTTAAATAGTCAATATGTTTAATTATTTATAGTTAAGTAGGCAAAAATACTGGTTGTATTTGGTCTTTGAGGTACCGAGTGGGCAACATAATTCGTGAACGCAAGAGATTCTGGAAACAAAATTTTGAGTCTATACTTGATCGATACAACTGTATAACAAGCCACTGAGTTGTCAAATCAGATTTTAAACAAAAATCTGTTCTTTCACAAAACTTCACTTAAGTTGTACAATGTTTTTTCCATTTTTTGACTGGACTCCTGTTTAGCAATAGAAGAATTTCAAGTTTTTGAAATAAAATTTCTACATCAATATGCATAAAATTTTCATGATACTGAAGTGTTTACAGAAAAAAAGGTAGTGGGATGTTCGAACCTTCAACCATTTCGAAATGATGATCCCGTAAACTGGAAAAATATTTTTTGATATGAGAATTGCAATACGACTTGGACTGAAATCGAGTTTATTTTCTACGACTAACGGCAGAAATGAGTTCAACATTCGGGAATTCAATTTCAGAGAGATCGGAACAACATAATTTTTTCTATCTATCTGTAGAAAAATTACATCGTCTGCCTTATTGCCAAACCAAAAAAAGAATTATTGGAACTAAAAACTCCAAGAAATCGATTTGTGTAAGCTAGAAGTGGGCATCTTGAAGCATTTTGAAATGGTGAATCCGGAAACTCGAAAAATAAAGTTCTTGATTCGACCAATAAAATAAATTGCCTCATTCATTAATAATAGTTTGAATCACAAAAAAGTCAAAGACGAAAGTTGTAGGTACGTGGACGTGGCATCGGAATTTCAAAAATAATCTGTAGTTATAAAGCCTGGGAAAACCCTAATGAGAACTGTAAATATAAACACGGTGTATCATTTAAAAAAGCTAAATTGTGCTTTATGCCTTAAGAACAGAATACTCTGTATAATTAAAAATAATTTTAGAGTATAGTTCTCAAAGAACCTTACAACTTTAGTCTTTGACTTTTTTTCTATTTCTACTAATTAATGAGATGTCGAGGACGCGCGCCTAATGACTCACCCTGTATACTTCAATACTCTTGAAAATCAGAGGATGAAGTCTTATATGTATAAGGATAGAACAAAGAATGACCATTCTGAATTTATGAAGATTTTTTGCGCTTCTGGTGGGTGTTTAGTTAACTGTATTTAAATTTCAACACTGTTGAACTAACACAAATATCAAAAAATATATACAGGTGTCCCAGATAAAACTCGACGGCCTAATATCTTGAGAACGGATAGAGATATTGAAATTATGTAAACGCCATTTTTACGTTAAAAGATATTTAATACATTGATATGAAATATGACGCACATATAACGTCTGCGTCGCTACACAAATCCATTTTTTTATTGCAAGGTATATTTTTGTACACCACTTAGATATTGATTTCATGATTTCATTTTCATTTGTTTGAAAAAAATACAATTTATAAACATAAAAAAAAGTTGATTGAAATAAAGCACTCACACATTATTTTATAATCAACAAGACTGTTTCAGAAGCAGTGATTTTCGCATATGTCGAACTATCGTAAACAACTTAATTTTTTTTTTCAGCCGAAAATGAAGTAAATATCTAAGTGCTGTATATCACTGTAGGTGATCGCAATTTAACGTTGCAATTTAAAAAAATTGGTTTAAAGTCATTTCCCTCGCGCGGGAAAATAAATATTCAAACAAATTCAGTGTGCTAGAAAAAAAAATGTCGACAAGGACGAGACCGATCTAACGCCAGCAAAGCTCAAGTTCTCTAAGAAATCCACACGTGGACCCACAGTCGTTATGCACGTAACCCAAATATCAGCTATGCGCACAAAAATTTTTGTAAAGTGATTGTGATAAAAATCAAGGTAGACTCATGTACCACACATACAGGATTATCTTATGCTATAAAGTGTAAATATAAGTTACTACGAAAAAAAGAGTTTACGTCATTTAATTCTTGATATAGATGGTTAAATCAATTTTATTTATATTTTATATTTAAGACTTAAATACCGTTGTAATTATTAAATTACTATTCAAATTTACATTACACTAGCGCTTGGAAAATATCTCGACTTTATTTTTCCATTTTTGTGTATCGTTATAACTAATTAGTAATTATTCGTTTGTAAAGATTTGTAATTTTACGAAAATTTGAAAACACTTTACTAGTTAAGCGGTAAGCACGATTTTTTATCAAATTTCGCATAATTCAGTATTGAGAAGTTTTCACATTTAGAAAATAAACTAAGGGTAGAACATTTCAGGGTTTATAAAGTATGAAACTATCGATCCCTCGTTTCCATGCATCTGCTGGTGATTTTATTCTCTAGATCATTTTGTAAATTACCATACTGATTGTTGTGAAACTGTAGGTATATATATTTTAACATTACCATATAAATAGTAAAACAAGAATGAGAATTTTGTCTATCCTCTCTATATATTAAAGATTTAATAACATTAACACAAAATTATGCTCTGATTTGAAAAATACACTGCCAGACAAAAAAAAACCGGTAACTTGAATTTTTTGTGATTACATATAATTGGTCGAGCTTTCGTAAAAAATATTACGAAAAGCAAAACATTCATTTATTCATAAACAGAAAACATAACTTTATTCTAAAACAAAATATGGAATCAGAAAAAACATTTTAAAAGTTATAATACTAAACATTAGGGTAAAGTAAAAATATTCAAGGGTTCGAGCTTTTTGTCTGGCAGCGTATATGTTTCTTTACCTATGATTTAACAGTATTCCATGTTTTTAACCTTGTTCCCCATGGGTTATTAAGTTGTTATAAAAAATAAATTTGTAGAATAAAATTTTATGATTTGTTTTAGAATCTAAACAACTTACATTGATTTAAGGTTGCTGAACATCGATTAAAATTGACTTGTTCATTTAAATTAATAAATATTTTTTATTGTAAGTACAATATAACCTCAACCTGCATTAAAAATCGTTCGTGTTTCAGAGACGAGGGAAGTACGGATGAATAAATTTGGGTATGTAGTAAGCCGTTTCGAACCAAATTCCCGCGCGCCAAACTTTTGGTAAGAAAAGGGATGGGAATGGAAAGAAACGAAAATCACTAAGAGGGAGATGCGCAGAAGGGTGTGTTTGAGCAGGGTGAGTCGCGGCAGTTCGACTTGGTCTTTCTTTCGAGTAAGACGTCAGGTTGGTGCTCTCTGTGTTTTTTTCAAATGTCTGTGCGCTGTTTGTTTCCTGTTATAGTGGCGATTCGTTCTAATGGAGTTCCACCCCCCCTGACGAATCAGCGAACGTAAGAATTCTCCGCTCCGTTCGAACACAGAGAGGTTATTTCGGTGGTGAGCACGTATTTGGTTTGAAGATCCGAGAGGTATGTTTTCCACGTGATTCCGTGTGTGCTGGTGGAAGAAGCGGCGTTGCTTCTCGATGGTTACGGAGTATGTGAGACGCGGGAACCACACACATATGTGACGCGACAAAAATGGCGGCACTTCCGGATGACGCCATGGCCGTTAATTTTCGTACTAACCTTTTCAACATAATTTCAAGCCGTTTTAGTAGGGCTTTTCAGGGAATTACGTTAGCTAGGGCAGTTTATTTAGCGAATGTTATGCGGAAAGTTGGATGGCAATTTTCGAGTTATTGTTTTGCGTTGCATAATTTGAGCACGTGTGCGTAAAGTAAATTCAAACGTAATCTGAACAAGTGAATCTTTAACAAAAATAACGTTGAGAACGGCATCAGAAAATTAATAATATCATAGTCTGGAGGACGGGGGATTTTCTTTGTGTTAGTAACATCAATTAATTAGGCACATCAATTTGACTGACATTATAAGATCTAAGATATTTGAATGGCTTTTCCTCGATTTATTATTCGTTTGTTGTAAACTCTAATGCCTGAAAATTTCATGTAGTTTTCAAATATTCAGCCGTTCAAAATAGAAAGAGAAAGTGGTAGGGTGCAGGTACGGGGTGTTGACCGGGGAATTTCAAGGGCAACCTTTGTGAATTTTTGTATTAGTCATTGGGGATTTGTTGTTGACCGAAAACTGTTGATGAATTTGAAAATGAATGTTATTGAAAGAAGGGCACAATTCAAAGCGAATGTGCACCGACGATTACCTATATTTTATTTATTTTGCATATTTTATGTGCGGTATTTTTTTATGTGTTTTGTTTATCTCGTATGTGTTTTTATTTATGTGTCTTTTGTTTGGGGATGTGTTTGGGGGGGGGGGTTGTTTTGTTTAATTCGGTCAATGACGTGTTTAATTCGGTCAACAACGTAACTTTGCCCAGACCATTTTAATGCAGTCGTAACTTCTTTGCTTAATGTCAGATAAATATTTCAATAAAATCCATAGCTTCTTTATTTTCTTTGGTAAGAATCAGCGACGTAAATGTAGCTTAATTTCAATAAAATCATTGCCAAAATGTGAATACTTTAATCTCTTTCAAAATTCTTGTTCTTTAAAGTTATTGACAAAACATGAATAATTTCTCATTTCATTTTCCTTGTTGTATAAGATTGTTGATCACACGTGCATAATTTAATCTCATTTAAATTTCTTTGTTATTTAAAACAAGTGTTGATGGAGTGTGGCCAAATTAAATTTTGCTTATTGCTTGTCTGAAATCCAAATACTCATTTTGATAACGCTAGTTAACTCGGGGGTCGTGTGGTGTGGACGCGGTGGCGTCGGCGTCTCCGTGCGAGTGTTTGCGGGTCTTGCTAGACTTCCGGCCCTAGCGGACTCGGAGTTTACACAGCTACCTTGTTTGCGGGATACAGGAAGGTCAACCTATGTCAGGTGGGTGCGTAAGACCACGCGCGTGAAGTGGTGAGGTAGGACTATGTGGACCTTCACGGGGAGTGTGGCCGTCGCCCTGCCCCCGCTGTGCGCCCCCATCTTGTTTGTAGAGGCCACACTACCGAAATACCTGGGACGTTGCCATCCATTTACTTTCTGAGAATTCCGCGACTTTTTTTTATTTTGTTT